CTCTTAACTCTCTTCTCATCTGGGCATTGGGTTTCTCCAGTTGCTTAGGTGCAGTGCTAAGGCACTCGGCTACATGGTGATGAGCGCTGTATAAAAAGCTAGCTAGATACAGACCTGTATGAAATCTTACAAGTTCTTCTCCAGTCAAATCTGTGGAATTCATTTCTTGCTACTGCATTATCTGGTTGGTTAGCGGCAATCTCAGGAGGAGCTTATTCAACTAGGGAAAAGGCCCTGCCTTTCTCTTGGTTGAGTGCCCCCTCTTCTACTGAAAAGGAAGGAAGTGACTGTGGCAGGAATCAATGTCTAAATGGGTTTGAAGTGAGATGCTCTGAAATTTCCAATCCGATCAATAAGGGTGTTTGCCTGTGTTGAGTGTAGCATGGAGCTTGCTGCTAATTCTTAAAGCAGCATGTTGGTCTGAAAAGGTGATTTTCAAAGGATAAAAAAATTGGGCATGTGCTTTCTGTCCACGCACCCCCTCTTTATAAGAACGTAAGAACGGCCATACTGGGTCCATCTAGCGCAGTATCCTGTCTACCGACACTGGCCAGTGCCAGGTGCCCCAGAGGGCATGAACAGAACAGGTAATCATCAAGTGATCTATCCCCTGTCGCTCATTCCCAGCTTCTGGCAAACAGAGGCTAGGGACACCATCCCTGCCCATCCTGGCTAATAGCCACTGATGGACCTATCCTCCATGAATTTATCTAGTTCTTTTTTGAACTCTGTTATAGTCTTGGCCTTCACAACATCCTCTGGCAAGGAGTTTCACAGGTTGACTGTGCATTGTGTGAAGAAATACTTCCTTTTGTTTGTTTTAAACCTGCTGTCTATTAATTTCATTGGGTTGACCCCTAGTTCTTGTGTTATGAGAAGTTGTAAATAACACTTTCTTATTTACTTTCTCCACAGCAGTCGTGATTTTATAGACCGCTATCATGGTCCCCCTTAGTGGTCTCTTTTCCAAGCTGCAAAGTCCCTGTCTTATTAATCTTTCCTCATATGGAAGCCGTTCCATACCGCTAATCATTTTTGTTGCTCTTTTCTGAACCTTTTCCAATTCCAATGTATCTTTTTTGAGATGGGGCAACCACATCTGCATGCAGTATTCAAGATGTGGGCGTACCATGGATTTATACAGAGGCAATATGATATTTTCTGTCCTATTATCTACCCCTTTCTTAATGATTCCCAACATTCTGTTTGCTTTTTTTTGACTGCCGCTGAGTGGATGTTTTTCAGAGAACTATCCGCAATGACTCCAATATCTTTCTTGAGTGGTAACATCCAATTTAGACCCCATCGTTTTATATGTATAGTTGGGATTATGTTTTCCAATGTGCATTACTTTGCATTTATCAACATTGAATTTCATCTGCCATTTTGTTTCCCAGTTTATGATGTGGAAAGCAGGGCTAGAAGGCTTTTGTGTGATTTTTTTAAGAGACTCTACTTTTTTCCCCCATTAAAAGGTCAGGTCTCTTCTACCCTGGAAGAGTCTATGGTGGTCAGAGAACTAATAAAACATAGATAGTGACTGGGATTGGCTGTTTAATCAGATGGCTTAAAACTCTTGTTTTTGTTAATACCTGCTTTACTCCAATGCCTAATGAATGCTTTGGAGAAAGGGTATCTGTTCAAGATTAAACACTCTCACCCTTTCAATTAAGGTTTTGGGAGCTCACAGTAAATATCTGAGATACTCACAAATTCCTCCAGCAAACTCAGACTTGACATTCATGATCTTGCTAACATAAAAGGAAGTAAAAACACTTGTTTTAACATCAACTATTCAGGTAATCTTTATACATAATAAAATAGTTTTAGGGAAAGAGAATTTAAAAACCTTTGCAGGTCACCTTTTAAACTACCTTGAGTACCATAACTTCCTGCTCCCTTGTCCCACTTGAATGCATCCAGAACAATGCAGGCGTAATATACCTTGTCCTCATTCCAGCCACATCTGGCCTTTCTTCATATTCCTTCACTGGCTTTCATCTGCTTGATGCTTTGGTGGTGTCCAGCTTGGCTGTTCCCTTCACTCTTGCTAAGTTGGATAATTGTCTTGTTCATGTCCTCCTCATGCACTTATCTCCACATCTTCCCTCTGTCCTTGTGTTTGGAATGCCCCTCCTGAGAACATGCTTTTATCCAGGAGGCCCACAAGTCCTAGTCCTTCCTTCAGAGGCACGCTTACTAATGAAACCGCAAAGCAAAAATCTCTTCAGCCCTTCTCCCAACATATCACTGGAGCTGATGTGACAAGTGCTCTAGAATTCCATTAATTCATCTTGATTTTAGCTTCCGTTCTCTACCCTTTCCAGCAGGGATTGTCCTCCTGTCTGTATAGCTAACAGAAATGGTTTGTAACAGGCTGACCTACACAATTGATGTCCATGCTCCTATTGAGAGTTGGGGCACCCTTTGTTTATGGATTTCTGTGTATCAGAGAGGGGAGTTCCAGCTGAAAGCTCTTTTGTAAAATGAAAGCTCAACTTGTAAGAGAACTTATGTCTCTCATGAGGTGGTCACATGAGCTGTGAGGTCTCCAATCTGGAGAAATTAAAGTCATTTCATGTCATCAATTCTATTTAACAGATTTTAGCCAAGAAAACTCTTGAAGGCTCTGGCCCTGACAGCCTGGCCCGGGGTGGGCAAACTTTTTGGCCTTAGGGCCACATCAGGGAATAGAAATTGTATGGTGGGCCATGAATGCTCACAGAATTGGGGTGGGGGTGAGGGCTCTGGTTGGGGGTGCGGGCTCTGGGGTGGGGCAGGGGATGAGGAGTTTGGGGTGCAGGAGGGTGCTCCAGGCTGGGATCGAGGGATTTGGTGAGCGGGAGGGGGATCAGGTCTGGGGCAGGGGGTTGGGGCGTGGGTTGAGGCTCAGGAATGCAGACTCCGAGTGGCGCTTACCTCAAGCGGCTCCCGGAAGCAGTGGCATGTCCCTTCTCCGGTTCCTACGCATGGCATGGCCCCCGACCCTCGAAGCGGGATCATGCGGCTGCTTCTGGGAGCCTCGTGTTGCAGCCCCCGACCTGGCTGGAACCCCGGAGCGGGGCAAGCCCCAGACCCCACTCCCCAGTAGGAGCTCGTGCGCTGACTTAAAACGGCTCGCGGGCCGTAGTTTGCCCACCCCTGGCCTGGCTCATTGGCCCGATGAATGACTATGAATTGGGTTTAGGAATCTGTCTGTTTCATCAGATCAGGGCCCTGGTATAATGTTTACAAATCAAGCATGGTGGTTAATACTGTCTGTACAGCTTCATGATCTGGAAGAAAACTCCGGTCGCTAGGCCAAGCTGGAGCCTAACCTGGGGTTTGCTGTTTCTGTAACAGAATGTCACGTCACTAGAATAACACATGGCAGTATAAATATCGTGTCGTTTGCATAAGGAGCCCCCGAAACTCAGGCTCGCCATTGGCTGAGCTGCAAGTATATTTCTTTACACTAGAAGATGGATGCAACTTCCTGTGGACTTGTCTGTTAAGTAATATTTGCTTCTTCAGTCAAATAGAATAATACCTTGCAGGTTACTAGAGCTACTGGAATACGGATGAGGCTGAGGCATTTTCTGTTTATGATCCGTTCCCTTTCTTCCCACGGCAGTTTCTTTCTTGTTTACGAACGTTTTTCTTCAGAACCCCTGTATGCTCAGGGTTACCTGAAGTGGTGTGTAAGCATTTATATTATGGAGTCTTTCTGATAGCAGTTAACTGTGTAAAGCTTTAGACTCTTTTTTGTCCTGAACACAGTATGAGTGCCTGGAGAGGCCACTGAAATGTGACAGCAACATTATCGTCTAGGCAGGTGGTATTAATAGAGATGGAACTCTGCTTTTCAGTGAGTGACATCTCGCCCAACAGTAGAACGGAGGGGGCCCACAGCCCCTGGAAAAGTAAATTGAAAATGGAGGCATGTGCTTCACAGTTACATTAACACGTGTGTATTTCTAGTAAGATTCTGAGTGTGTAAAACACTTCATTTATGGAATTGCTTACACCCATGGCCTTATTCTCTGCACCAGAAGTGAATCTTGGAATGCATTTTGTTGTACCTAGGCAGATAGATATAGGTTTGAGATGATGACAACTTAAAAATGCAGTAGTGCACATTAGACTTTAACAAGCGTGGATGGGTAATTAGGAGGATACTGAATGTCTTGAAAACATAATGAGAGTTTAATGTCTGTATTTTCTGATTAACTGCTTAGTGCCTGATTTGGAGCTCTAGTAAAGCTGTGAATGGGTGCTCCTGGCCCAGAGGTGGTCTCCTAAATCCACACAGATAGGCTGCTAGTTATCAAATATCAGACATGGACCAGCCATGTCTCTTTGAGGAGAGGTAGGAAAGCATGATGCTGTGGAAGAGGAGGGTTCACAAACCCAACAGCCCTGGTTATAGGGCCCTCTAATGCTAGAGACTAGGGGCAGGGAGATAAAATCGTCTCTTCTGAGACCGTGATCCTGTGCTTCCCGCACTGGAAGATGATCTGTGACCGTCTGTCACAGTGTCAGATGTATATGGTGACTTGCTAAAGGGCTGCTGCTTCATATTGGTCTTTCCCAAAGCCACTGAATGGACCTTCCAAAAATACATACTGTATATGTGCTTAGGGTGTGTATTAAAAACTAATAGGAGCAGTAATTAATATTTCAGAGGCTTTGCTGGTGTGCGTGATTTTAATGCTTGTGACAGCCCCAAGGTGTGAGGGCATATATTATGTTTGCTTCTGAAAATAACGAATTGTAGAAATGACTCTTATGATGACTGGCCTGCTTTGCTCAAAACCTTTTCCTCCACCTCATCTGACTCCAGGCAAAATCCTAAAATGGAAGACACATGCTGTCCTCACGTAGGTCACATCAAACGTGGTGGTTGTTTTCAGCTGAACTGAGAGTGAGATTTCAGTCTCCTAAATAGTGAGAGAAATACAGTTGATAGTAACTTCATATGTTCACTTGCTGACATTTTTATTTTCCTGCTGTTCCTCTAGGCGTCAAGTGCCGGAACCAGGATGAGTGTGGAAGCTAGTGGCAAGCCCTTGAAAGTGGGCTCCCGAGTGGAAGTCATCGGAAAGGGACACCGTGGGACAGTGGCATATGTTGGAGCCACGTTGTTCGCCACAGGAAAGTGGGTTGGAGTCATCTTGGATGACGCGAAGGGCAAGAACGATGGCATTGTGCAGGGCAGGAAGTATTTCACCTGTGAAGAGAATCATGGCATCTTTGTGCGACAGTCACAGGTATGTTTTTCCTCCCGGCAGCGTGGTCTGGTCTGTGCTTGCCAGGCTGCTGCTACTGAGTCGTCAGCCTAATGAGGGGGACTTGAAACTAGGTTCAAAGGGGATAGGTGACAAAAGCCCACAGGTAAGTCGAGAATAGATAAAGGTGACCTTAACAGAGGGCTAGATGTTGTGGGGGACATGGAAAATTGCAATAGGGTCAAAGGAGAAATAAGAGGGAATCCATGGGGGAATTGGTTCAAATTCAAGGAGTATGGGGAGTAAACAGGAAGAACTAGAAGTATTAGTCCACAAACTAACGTATGACTTACCCCACCCAGTCAGTCCTTGATGGCAGTTAAGTCTTATGACCGAAATATTGGTATAGAGGGGTACAGCTTGTTCAGGCAGGACAGGCAGGGTAAAAAGGGAGCAGGTGTTTATACACCAAGAATATATACACTTGTTCTGAGATCCAGACGGACATGGCAGGCAGACCAGTTGAGAGTCTGTGGGTAAAGATAAAGGGGGTAAAAAATAGGGGTGATGTCATGGTAGGGGTCTACTATCGACCACCAAGTCAGGAAAAGAAGATGAATGAGGCATTCCTAGAACAAATAACAGAAATATCCAAAAGACAAGACCTGATAGGAATGAGGGATTTTAACTGCCCAATCATCTGTTGGAAAAGTATTATGGCAAAACACAACATATCCAGTAAGTTCTTGAAATGTATCAGGGACAACTTTTTGTTCCAGACAGTGGAGGATATAACCAAGAGGACAGCCATTTTAGACTTGGTTCTTACCCACAGGGAGGAATTGATCGCGAATCTCCAGCTGGAAGGCAATTTTGGGTGAAAGTGATCCTAAAATGATAGATTTCGTGTTTCATAGGAAAGGAAGAAGTGGAAGCAGCAGAATAAGGACAGTGGACATCAGAAAAGCAGATTTTAACAAACCCAGAGAACTGGTAGTTAAGGTCTTATGGGGAAAAAAGTCTAAGGGAAAAAGGAGTTCAGGAGACCTGGCAGTTTCTCAAGAAGACGTTATTAAAGACACAACTGCAATCTATTCTGATGTGAAGGAAAGATAGGAAGAATAGTAAGAGGCCAATGTGGTTCCATCAGGAGCTCTTTAATGACCTGAAAATCAAAAAAGAATACTACTAAAAGTGGAAACATGGGCTGATTGTTGATAGCAAGAATAGCACAAGCATGTAACACACAAAATGAGATACACCTAGCAAGGGACAAAAAATGCAATAAGAAGACGATCTTTAAATACAATAGAAGTAAGAGACAGACAAAAGAAAGTGTATGTCCTCTACTTAGCAGGGAAGATGAGCCAATAACTGATGACATCAAGAAAGTGGAAGGGTTTAATGCCCATTTTGTTTCAGTCTTCACTAAAAAGCTTAATGGTGACCAGATATTTAACACAAATAATATTAACAACCACGGAGAAGGAATGCAAACCAAAGAAAGAAAAGAACAGGTTAAAGAATATTTAGATAAGTTAGATGTTTTCAAGTTGGGAAGGCCTGATGAAATTGATCCTAGAGTACTAGCTGAAGCGATCTCAGAACCACTAGCAGTTCTCTTTGGGAACTCCTGGAGGACAGGTGGGGCCCCAGAAAACTGGAGAAGGGCAGACATAGTACCTGCCTTTAAAAGGGAGAACAAAGGACCTGAGCAATTATAGACCAGTCACCCTAACTTTGATACCTGGAAAGATACTGGAACAAATGATTAAACAATCTATTTGTAAGCACCTAGAGGATAATAGGGAGATAAGGAATAGCCAGCATGGATTTGTCAAGAACAGATCCTGCCAAACCAACCTAATTTCCTTCTTTGACAGAGTTACTGGCCTAGTAGATTGGGGTGAGCGAAGCAATAGGTGGTGATATATCTTGATTTTAGTGAGGCTTTTGACACATTCTCATAAGCAAACTAGGGAAATGTGGTCTAGATGGAATTGACTCTAAGGTGGATGTCACATTCTGGGGTGTGATATAGACTTGCCCTGTAACTCTGCCTTAAAGTGCTTTGCTGCTATAGCTCCCTTGTTTGGCTGCTCCCTGCCAGCGTACAAGCGTGCACTGTGCACTGAGTATCTGTGTGATAAACCACCCTCGGCCAGCAGCTCCGACTGGAGCAGCCTGCTTGTTGCACCAGAGCCACATTCTGGCTTCTAGCAGCTTTGGTTACACCTGGAAGATGCCCCAGTGCCCCCTGTCATTTCTCCCAAACCGTGTGCTCTGCAACGTCCAGCCCTTTCCTGGGCCATTCAAAGCAATAAGGTTCATGTGCTCCTCTGAAGAGACAAAGTGCCCAGCTTTTCGCTTCAACCGGAGTCAGGCTATCACCTCAATTCAAAGACAGCACTGGGTTGTTTAGAATAAATTAAAACAAGTTTATTAACAAAAGGAGAGAGAATTGTGAGCGAGTTCAAGTATAAAGGGCAGTGAGAAATGGCTACAAGCAAATAAAAGTGAAAAACTCTTTCTAGAGACTAAGACTTAACAATACTACAGTTTTGGTTCAAGGTCAGATTCTCACCACACTACCTTTCAGCAAGATGGCTGACCACCCCCTTGGCCAGGATGCCCCCTAAAGTCCAAAGTGCTCCATTCCATTGTTGTCTTAGGTGAAAGATAATTTGGGGGTGTCTGCCCCTTGTATAGTCCAGTGAACCTTTGAAATAGATTCTTCTGATGGTTACCCCGCAAAGTAAAGTTCATTCAAGCCGTGAGAAAGATGACATGGAGTCTGTGGTGAGGGAAGTTTCATGCTGCTTTCTTCCACTGCTGGTGTTTGCTAAAATGCAGATTGATCTGTTCCGCCAATCTCCTGGCACTGCTGTGATGCTGAGTAGTTATCTTCTTCCCTTGTTAGCTTGATGGTTCTGTTTACCTTCTATGTAAATGCATTCCCATCATTTCTTAATGTACTTTGGAAGTACCTTCAAGGTGGCAGAACCATATTCCTTTGTCTAGGGAGGGGTAACTTGAGCCCTGCCTGGCAGACACACTTTAAGAACATAATTCCCAACATGTTTGTAATTTTGCATTTGTCCTCCATACATATACCCCACAATAATGTTAATGATCAGTATGTTATTAGCTTTCTATTGATATCCTACTTGAGGCCTTTTAGATGCAGGTTATGATATTCATGCGGTGGGGTACACTGAACTGGTTAGGCCATCTAGAACTCTCGGCAGTGAGCCCTTTGCCCTCTTGCATTGGGAGGCTGCTAGGGTCACAGAAAGACCATACTCAGAGTAGTTATCAATGTTTCACTGTCAAATGGGGAGATCTCATCTAGTGGGGTCTCGCAGGGATCAGGCCTGGGTCTGGTACTATTCAATGTTTTCATTAATGATTTGGATAATAGAGTGGAGAGTGTGCTTATAAAATTTGCAGCTGAGACCAAGCTGAGAGGTGTTGTGAGCTCTTTGTAGGAGAGGATTAGAGTTCAAAACAACCTTGTCAAAATGGAGTATTGGTCTGAAATCAACAAGATGAAATCAATAAAGATAGTGCAAAATACTGCCCTTAGGAAGAAAAAATCAAATGCCCAGTTACAAAATGGGGAATAGCGTCTAGGTGATAGTACTGTTGGGAAGGGTCTCGGGGTTGTAGTGGATCACAAATTGAATATGAGTTAACAATGTCTTGCAGTTGTGAAAAAGGTTAAGATCATTCTGGGATGTATTAACAGCAGTATTGTACGTAAGACGGGGAGGTAATTATCCTGTTCTATTCAGCACTGGTGAGGCCTCAACTGGAGTACTGTGTCCAATATTGAGCGCCACGCTTAAGGAAAGATATGGATAAATTGGAGAGAGTCCAGAGGAGAGCAACAACAATAAGAAAAGGCTTAGAAAACCTGACCTATAAGGAAAGGTTAAAAAATCTAGGCATGTTTGGTCTTGAGAAAAGAAGACTAAAGGGGACTTGCTAACAGTCTTCTAATATGTTAAGGGCTGTTATAAAGAGGATGGTGATCAGCTGTTCTCTATGTCCACTGAAGGCAGGACCAGAAGTAATGGGCTTAAGCTGCAGCAAGGGAGATTTTAAGTTAAATTTAGAAAAAACGTTCTAACTCTAAGGGTAGCTCTGGAACAGGCTTCCAAAGGAGTTTGTGGAATCCCGGTCATTGGAGATTTTTAAGAACAGGTTGGACAAACACTTGTCAGGGATGGTCTAAGTTCACTTGGTCCTGACTCAGGGCAGTGGGCTGGATTTGATGGTTTCTCGAGGTCCCTTCCACCCTATGTGTCTATGGTTCTGTGTATGCAGCACCCCGATCAAAAAGGGGTCTTGGTTAAATGTGAAACATGGAGACATTCCACACCCACTCACGGGAGTGAATAAGATAGTTCCCATTTCCTTCACTCCAGGGAGAGTGGCAGTGCCAGGACTCCTGTCCCTCAAACACTTATGGAGTGAGGCTGGGCAGCTCAAAATGTGGAGTCCTCTTCAGAAAGGGGGGCCTAGTTAGCGGTACCATTCGATGCGTTTTTATTCTGTCAGCAGTCTTTCATCTGTGGATTACTGGAGGGGTGTCTCAGCAAGTTAAGGTTATGGGATCCTGAAATGATGCTGAACTGCACAAAGAGTTCTGTGTTTTTCATGAAGCAGAGAATGGTGTTACAACCACCAAAACCACAGTGCGGGGAGCTGCATTTCTCACACTCCCAGGAGCGTCGGTATGTCTACACTGCAATAAAGGACTGTGGTTCCGAGTTGCCGAGCCCAGGTCAGTTGGCTCAGGCTGCAGGGGCTGAAGATAGCAGTGTAGATGTTTGAGCTGGAGCCTGGGCTCTGAAACTCGACGAGGGGGTGGGTCTCGGAGCCCGGGATGTAGCTAGAGGTCAAATGTCTACACTGCTATTTTTAGCTCTGCAGCCCGAGCCCCGTGAGCCTGAGTCAATTGACCTGGGCTCTGAAACTTGGTGCCACAGGTTTTTCTTTGCCGTGTGGGCATACCCTAAATGACTTTAGCAAGGAAA